ACAACTTATTCTACCTCTTCTCTGATTGGAAAACAGCAGGGATGGAGCAATGGCTAAACCTGCCCTTTCCTCCCTCTCTGCTACTTTGTCCCACACTGAGCCACATCCAATCTGGGAAAAAGGCCTGTATGGGAAGAAGTGGTCAAATAAGGGCTATAACGATTTAGCCCTAATTTAGTCACCTCTCTGTAAAAGAAAATTCTTTTCAAAATAATCGTGCAAACACTTACTTCATTTTAAATAGACAGCCACTGAGCTGAATAAGATTATGGGTCAATTCATGCAATAGCAGAAGCTGCTCTAACTTAGCAGTCTAAGTTTGAAGCAATGCTTTCCAAGGCTTGTCTAGACATGACTATTTTACGTGTTTCTGTAGTATCATGCACCTGGTTTCCACTGTAATCCAATGTGAGTGCTAGAATTTCTGTTGTTGTTGCTGGTGTATCCAGTATCACAGCAAGTGTCACAAAAAAGATGACTCAAACAGCTGATGAAAGTATCCTTGCTGCTAACAAATGTATGATGTACAAATGGCAAAATGCCCAGCATTCTCTCTGCCCCTGCCAAATAATCTTGGCACAACAACATTTCTGTTCAGATTTTGTAATATCATGTCACCTGGACTGGCTGAATTGGGAGTATCCCTTTGAACTGTGTGTGCACTTGTCATGGACATTTGTGTCCTAAGGGACTTGCAGCCATTTATTAGGCTGCTTCACAAATCTTTTGGGGTCATCCTTCAGCTCTAGAGTCAGTGTAGCCCTAGAGCAAGGTAAGCCTTTTTGGCTTTTGGACTTGTCAGCTGGATCTGGAAGTCACAGCACCCACTCATGGCCTGTGGACACGTCTATGGCTGCAGGCAAGGACTTTCTCTTCACTGGATTCCAGCTCTAAAAGAAATGGGCACTCCTTGAAGAGTGAATGAGACTTCTTGAAGAAGTAGGTTGGTTTTACTGGACCCTGGGTATACAAGGTCTAATCCCTGGGCACTGTGAGCCTCAGCACATCCTCTGCAGAGCTCAATTTTCTCTCCGTCAGTCCGCAGATATCCTTCCAGTGTCCTGGCTCTCTCCTCCAGTTGTCTGTCCCAAATCATCCCCTCTGGGCTCTCCATGGGGCAGGAGGGCATCTTATGGCAGAGTCCCCGTTATCACCTATTCCTACTGAGCCTGGCTGGCTTTCCTAAACCTTTCTTCTGTTGCAAGACAATTCATGCTAAGGAAGGGAGTGCATAAGTATGCACCAAATATATTTGTAAAGTAAAGGGCTGTCATGTTGGGACAAGGTATTAAATAAGCCTCTGCAAACTCAGCAAGATCCAAGGTCACAAGGCATTTCCTCCAGAGAGGCATTTGTCATCATTAAAGAATTTAGTGGCAGCTGGTAAAAAACATCTGAGATGGTATGAGATGATTTTGAATGTCTAAGAGTTGTTGTCTTTGAAATTTTATAACTATCAGAAGTTTCAAAAATTAGAGAACAGTAAACAATTAAAGTGTCATAAAGCAGATCCTTGGCTGATTCCAGAAAAGCAACTGGCAAGGATCTTCATGATTACAGGAAAAGATGGCTTTTCTGATATGGCTACATGTGGGCCATTTGGGTATATATTGATTAAATATCTTTTTCTCTCTTTCAGAGGGAATTCACTTGCTCCTGAAAGCAAGTATCAAAAACTGCAGCCCAGAATATTTGAGGGGGGGGTTAAGAAAGAAAAATTATAGGTATACTTAGATCTGAAGGTTCTTCTTAGTCATATTGGCAGTGCTCGCAATTCTGTAACCTGCATTTTTTTCTGTTTCCTAGACAGACTTTATTATATAGGGAAATGGTTTGGTGGTTCCATTTTAGAGAATGTATATTTGTCATTTTTTTCTCTCTTCTTGTTCCCAAGGTGAGATACAGTAAACTAATCAGCACCATTGCAGCCTCTCAGTGTTGTTATTGGGCTCCTTCAGCAAAGGACTGAATGTTCTGGCCAGATCATACTGTGATTTCTGTTTTCTATTCTGTATGTGACACCTCTACTTTTTCTTCTGAGTGAGTGTATAATAACACTCTCTTTTCAGCTTGTCATGTTAGATTACAACAGGATGACAATGACAATACTCCTTTATGCAAATATTAAAACCGCTCAATCTACTGCATAACACTAACTTTGTTTTCTTTTAGTCTTCTCCTCACTTCTTTTCTTTCTTTGCTCAGAAAGGGAGTGGTTGAGTTTTGATGGGTCATAAAGGCAGATTCATGGAAGTCAATGAATTCATGAAGAGCCAACCCATACTTCTTAGCTCTTACCACGAACAAAAACATGACATCTGGAAAGGCTCACCATAGAGTACCAGAGGCTTGGTACTCCAGAAGTCTGAAAAATTACTATTTTGGGCAGAAAATCAAGTTAGCCACTTTCTGAAATGAAAATAAAATTTTACTTGGCCATTAAAAGCAACTTCAGACCACTTCCTAGCAAATGAGCAGAATTTTAAACACTTGACACTCAAAATCTGAGAAATCAATAGATATTTGAAGGGATAAAATACAAAGGACTCATCTCTCAAAGGTACAACAGGAGGATTTGAGCTGAACCTTCTGCTTGCTGGTTGTGGCAATAGGATTCAGTTTCTAAGGTCACTGAAGCCCTTGATTTACAAGGAATCAGAAATCCACTCCACTTCCTTGCAGGGATGAAGAACTACTTGTGAAATGCCAGCTTGCCTCTTCAGCTAGTCAATCACTTGGGCACTTTGGTGCTGCTCAATATTCTGTGGAAAAAGAGTCTGGGCCAAAGAAAAGATATGGCACTGGAGCTGGGTACAGTGTTTCATCTGTTTGTCATCTCCTTCCTTAAGGGACTGAGGTCTGTGAAAGCACAATAGCTACTGATTGGTGTTACCAACAATTCTGCTGCTGTGTTTCTCTTATTAAGAAATACAAAGTAAAGAAGTGATGAATTCTTTGCTGTACTTTTAGAAGAGACTATCTATGCCGTCTTTTTCTTTTGTTGTAGTCTTTGCTATCTTTTTCCCCTGAAGGTATTTATTTTAATATTCTGCTTTGTGGCTTTTATCATTCATTCTTTTTCACATAAAACTATGCTCAGCTGACACCAATGAGCTTATAAACTTTGTTCATGCTGTCACATTTTTCTGCTCCCATCAGAGAAAAGTGAGTAATCTCTTGTTAAATTTAGCCTCTTTTTCCTCTCAAACTACATGATTTCCTCAAATGCATCTATCATTAGACAGTGTGCCACAAACACCCTGTTTTTTATTTCATTTATTCAATATGAAGATTCAAAATCTGAGCTATTTAGTTTAGTTGTAAGAGGTTAGGAAAAGGACAACACAGTATTTTTCTTATTATTTTTCAAAAGCATCTGAGTGAGTTAAGAGCACCATTTGTTGCTGTGGTTGTTATGGGGAAGGGTGAAATTCAATTTCTTTTCTAGTGATCATTATTTATCTGCTCTTAATGTTCCTAAAGAAATTACTTTGATGACTTTTTTTCCATGATTGTCTTGAACTTAGTTGTTGCTGTGGCTTGTATATTTGAGCAAAGTCCATTCAAACCTCTTTGAGTTTCATACTTGTCCCTTTTTAGAAGACTAGTTTCTGTGATGTGATGTGTTCAGATTCAGGACATTTTCATATCAAGACTTAAATCAAAGCACCATAATCATGATTCTTTTATTGCAGTGTTGCAAGACTTCATCAAAAGCAAACACTAACTGAGAAAGCAACTCAGTACAGTGTGAGGAATCACATTTTTTAAAAATGTTATTTGACTGCTATTTTCTATCTCTGACAAACCATCCAATGATTTCATTTATTCAAAAATAAATGACCTGTTGGCAGGTCAGGTTTCAGGTTTTGTTTATTTCTTTATCTGTCTCAAGCAGTGACTACATGGAAAGACAAGACTTGAAGGAACTTTTTTCCCCAGCTGCTCAACTTGTTGGATTTGAAGGAACTGAGATCTAGGGTTTACAGTACCTGTTTGAAGAAATACAATAGTTCTCTCAGTCACTATACTTACTGAGTAAAATGAATGCTATGTTGGCAGAACTACTTGATCTATTCTGCACCAAACAATTGGAAACCATGTTCCTGCACTTTTCTCGCCTTTAATTACTGTAAGATTTACTGAAAGTAACAACATCAATAATTCTTCTTGACTTTCTCCCACTCGGGTGTAAGAACACTCCCCAGTTCATAGACAGTTGTTATTGTGAAGAAGGTCAAATATCTTCACTTTTGCTTTTCAACTTGTTTAACTTGTCAGGGAGGCAAAAAATTTTTTTTTTTTTGATAATATCACCTGAAGTTCCAAACCATCTCCAAAAGAACAGCAGAACAAATTATTCAGATGAAGTCTGATTTGAAATTTTGAGGTTAAGTGAAATATTTTAAAGTAATTTAATCAATTAAACTCAATACCTGGGACATGTCCCTGTTAAGCAAAGTCTGAGGTTGTAAGTCAATGCAAAACCAAATGCTATGAACTTCAGTTAGTTCTTTATTCATTGGTAAATGCCAACTCCCTGGAAATATATCAAGCATTTGAAATGTAATTTTAACAAATAAATCACTTGAAATGTGCTCTAGAGCTGAGGTCCGAAGTCTGTGAGGTAGGCTGCCTTTGGTACCCAAGGTGGTTTAGAGCTATGTTTGATGTCCCCAGATGAAATTACATCATCTTTTAGAATTTCTTTTTCAAGCACAAGCAACCAGAACTGAAACACAGTGAGTGCTCACCAGTATTTTGTACAATGATGCCAGTACTTTCTGTCTCTACTGGAAATATATTGACTAATACAGGTAGGAGCACATTTGCCTTTTTTCATGGCCACACAGTATTGACAGCATGGTGTCAGTTTGTGGTAAGTTCATAAATCCAGATATTTCTACTCTTTCCTATTGGAGTATTCCCATCTTATGGCAAAAATTATTGCTACAAATCACCTTGCACTTTTCACTGTTAATCTTTTTTCCTGTTTCTAGAACTTGCATGCAATGCTCTGCTGGGATATGCCTAGAGGACCACCAAGAAAGTATGCCCCAGGCTGGAGTGCCCTGTCTGCATGGGGGGACGCCCTGGTGTCCAAGATGGCGAGGCCAGCTCGGCGAAGGAGAGCTCAGCCGCCCTGCCTGTGCTGGGGAGCTAGTGGGGAGCTCCGATGGTTTTGTGGGTACCAGCCTCTAGTGAGGGGTGTCCCTGACTGCCCAAAGCTGGGAACGGGATTGGGGTCTCCAGTTGGGCAGCTCTCTTGGCGCCACTGCTGGAGGGGTTGGAGGTAAATAGCAAATGAGAACTTTTATTGTCAGTGAACAGAAGGAGGGAAGAGGAATTGCACCACCTCTGCCTCCGCTCGGACAACCAGGTAATTTCCAGCGTGTCCAGAAGGTAGCTCCATGCAGGAGAAAAAGTCATGGGCCCCTTGTCATCTCCTGTGAAAGGGCCTGCAAGAAATCTTTAATGCTATATCTTATGGAAATCTCAACACCACTCCTCTTTGGCAGCACAGATTGCTGTGACCTAATCCCTTTCCACCTGAAGAACTGACATTAATTTCAAATCTAGTCTGCTTAGAAGATGAGTTAAAAACAGTTTCTGCCACTACATTTTTTCTCAAATCCTCCAGGTACTTTACTTTTATTCTTTTATTTAATGTTTTAAACTATACTTTTCTCTTTTCTGCAGGTGCTTATCTATACAAAAAACATGAAGTTAGCTAAAATAAGGAAAAGCATGAAACTAACTGCAGAAGAAAGTACTTTCAAGTGTACAAAGTAAAGAAAATGGAAGCATAATTTTCTCTAATCTTGTTTGCTTCTAGCTACCTTTGGTGTTATTTGTAACAGTAGGAGTTGACAACTAGGTAGAAAAAGTGTGATCTTTAAGTTGATGGTGTCCCTTTAAGGGGTCTTGGATCTGACCAGGTATAAGATACAGGCAAAGAATATAGAAAGACAGTAGAAAACTTAAACAAAATTTAGAAAATAGGATGAGTCTCTGGAGGGCAGAGAAATAACTTATGCAACACCCCAATTATTTTTGAAAAGGATCTTAAAAGAATAGCAAGAAATCAGATCAGTCAGTTTGACATCAATTGTGTAAGTCTCAGAAGTGTTTTTAAAGGATCAAATGTGGATATATTTAAAAAGCACAGTTTGAGAACAGACAATTAGTGTGGCATAAGGATGGAGTTATGAGGTTTAAGTAATTTATGTATGTGAATGTATGTGTATATTTTAAAGATATTACTATGGGGATCAGTGGGAGTGCAATAAACAGTATAAACCAGGATGCAACTGCATGGCAAAAATCTCTCTTTGATTTAAGAGCTAAGGCATGAAGTCCTCAGGATAGAGGAAAATGTGGCAAGCACAACTGATGGTTGACTAAATTAGGCAAAAGATTAAATGTCCTATCTTTGGCCCTTGTCAGATTAGCTCAATTTCACAGGTCTGAGTCATCAGGAAGGACCGGAAAGCTTTGGCAAACACTCCATATAGCTTTAGAAGATCCTTATGATCGTGTGCAACAGATTTGCTCCTGTGTGTCAAAGGTGTTAAATGCAGAGTATCAGAAAAATGATGCTTTTTGTTTCAAAGGAGTGAGAAAAATATCCTACTACAGGAAAAACCCATTCATCTGAAACATTTTCCTGACATTAAAACCATTCAGATTAATGTGTGGGCTATGTGTATGGTTGGTGGGGTATGGCAAAGAGAACTGACAACTAGAAGCACTAGAGAAGTGAGTGCATAGGGAAAAAAGTGGATCTGGATGTGTGAATGATGCAATTATTTGGTATTTGCATGAAAAGAACATGTCGCCCTACAGAATTTTTGGAAGCCATATGCCCAGGTCTTAATAGGCATGGCTGAGAGCAGGGAAGAAGGGTGTGATCAGAGGAATCATTTCAGTGAAGTGTAAGACCCCCGTAGCAATTACAATGAGACACGTCTGATATAAAACTCATTCGCATATGCTGATAGCAATGAAGAAAAGGTTTGTCTGTTTTTCAGACGCTACTCAGTTAAAAGTCATAGGACCCTGTAGGAACATGAGAGAATAATTCTGTCACATATATAGATGGTAAGCTCTTCGGGTAAGGTACAAGCCACAAAACTGGGATGAGGATCTACATTTTAAACATCCCAAAGCTTCACTATGTAAGTAGAGACCACTTGTAAAAATTCATATTTCAGTTCAGATTTTGAAACTCAAGCAAGATGTTAGCTGTCTCTAATACCTGGGAAGCAACCTGAACCATAGTGATGAAAGATGCCATATACCAGTAAACATAAGTTGTTGTTGATGTTATTCCTTTGCAGCATTTGTCATCAGAACTACTAAATCAAGCTGCTTTGTCATGCTGCACATTGAATGTTAAAATAATCCCAGATATATTTGCAGATACTACCTTAAATTATTTAATAACCTGGCCTTGACATATGCATAAAAAAGAGCAGAGGGTAAATGCAGCCAAAATGTGACATTCTCTATGATACGATAGAGGTACGTACAAATTCCAACCAAGTGCTTGATGCAGTGTGACAGCTTTACATAACTCTCTTTTTTCTTTTTTTTTCTTTTTTTCTGAATACACCACTGAAAAGAATATTTCTCTCTGTTGGCTTCAACTGGTGGAGATGCTATTTGGCTCCCTCTGTCAATGAAAATGGCATTAGAACATGCCATTTTTTGTGTATTTGCAGGTGGCTCCAGTCCAAAACACCTGGAATCTTCTGTAATTGTTTTAGCTGCTCTGTGTTGGTGTTTGCCACTTATATAAGATGTGAAGAACTACACATTTAAGAGGCATCTGGCAAGAGCATCAGACTGACTGTTATGTTATGCAGAGAGAGGTTCATGTAATCTAGTGCTGCGCAGATACTGAAGGGAGCAGATGCTGCCACATATTTGAGTGATTTCTGAACAATTCCTGTGATGTTAGCAATTTATGCTAGACTTCTGCTAGTTGGAAGTAAGTGCCTCAGACAGTAGGTTCTATTGACCCCACCACTTGGACATGTTACTACTATGAAATTTGTGTCTAACATGGGTGGCAAAATAGAAGAAGGTGCAAATAGCCAAGTGCCATGTTTTAAACAGTTATAACTTAAAATCAGATAGTAGTCAGGCCTACCTGTGCCATGTTTTTCTTTATGGCTCTCCTAGTGGATTAAGGTGTGAATTGCCCCAATGAGTTGGGTTGTCCGTTAGTGACAAATTGGAATTTGTAGCTTTCCAGACTGAGGGTGGTTAGTGCTGTGTTTCTCCCTGAGCCCTTCCTACCAGTCTCTCTTTGCCTGCTGGCAGCTCTGGATTGACTCGAGCCCAAAGGCGAGGTCCACAGCTCTCCTGCCTCCAGCTTCCCCGTTGCTCCTGGCTTGCCTGGCCCCTACTTCCTCAAGTGCCAGGTTACCTCCTGGGGCAGCATCTGCTCCCTCTTGGCCAGGGGCAGGGGAGGCTGCTGTACCACGGCAATGGATGACACACAAGTGGGAAGGGAGTTGATGGGAATGGTAATTCCCTGCATGGTGGATCTGTCACAGCCTATTGCTTTCATAACACCATGTCCAAAACAGAAGTGGAATCAAGGCCTCACAGATTTTGCAAATACTAGAGTAACAGACTGAATTAAGTCCACCAGTCTACTTAATTTTCTTGCCCAGTTGCCACTATTAGTTCTTTTGTTAGCATTTCTTCCTCAGCAGTGCATATTGTGACAGTCTGGCTGTTCCTTTACACACTATGTGGGGTCTGACATCTTCTTCATTTTTTCAGGTAACAACAGAAAGCCATTAAGTATATTACTATTTCTTAAGTTTGAATTATTTATTATTCTATCCTGCTGATCAGATCAACAAAAAAAAAATCTGACTATGGGTGAACAGCTGTTTGCCTTCCTGTGCATGAAGAAAAAAGAAGAGTGAATAGAAAGCAATCCATGAATTTTCTTTTATGTGCATATACTCATTTTGGGGGAAGGGTGAGAAGGAAGGTTTTAAAATTCATACGCTGCATCCATCATTTCCAAGACTGCTTCTTTACCACCTGGTCCCCTGCACTGTGATTTACCATTATATAAACTGAATTCTTAGCAATATTGGTTGCACCTCCCAGGCATGGGGACATGGGAGCCAGCAGGAGCCAGTCCTGGTGCAACAGGGTACAGCGTGCGTTGCGCTGAACCTGTGCCTGATATTGCTGACTGTAGCTGTTGCCCAAGAAGTGGCTGGCAGATGCGGTGTCAAGCACCATGGCACTGCATTCCTAAATTAGTTACAGAGGTCCTTGCTGAATTTCAGCCTGACCTCAAAGCTTGAGAGCGACCATATGGCTGACCTCCACAGCCGAGGTTACCACCTTTGCATCCAGTTGACTCTTCAGATTTGAGTAGTCTAATTAAATCTGCTGCTTATCCGCATAGATAATTATCAGTCTTTCTATTACTTATGTTACTGCACAACATCCCCTCTCAATGACTTTATTCATTTCGGGCAGGGACAGCAGATGCCAGATGGTGCTTAGAGGTTCACCTTGCTCCTGTGTGTTAGCCTGATGGGGATGATTGCTTCGGTCTGCTCTAATAAGCTTTGGAGCATGGGAAGTGATAGTGTGTCACTGCTTTGGAGGAGCAGTTTAAAGGCAATGAACACTGTTACTATCTATATAAAAATGGACTGGTTATAGCCTCTTAGACTTGTAAGGAAAAGAACAGATTTTATGTCTGCTCTTTTATGTATCAGCTTTCAAATTGAACAAGTATATTAAGTGCTCTTTAGGTTAGGCTACAATTTACTTAAAGAACTCTGACTCAGGGTTTAATTATATAGGCCACATTTTTTCCTTATAAGGAAATTCAACACAAATAGGCAGCATTCACTAGTTACTGATGATAGTAGCATCTGTATAGAAAGCTGCAGTGGCCACTAGAAGGTGCATTTTGCATTTACCTTCAGTACACTTTGCAGCTAAAGAGAATGGGTGGGGGTAAGTTTGTTTTCTTTCTGAAATTGTAAATTACATGAATAAATAAATAAATAAATAAATTGAAACATGAATAGACAAAGACTTTGTTTATTTATTGCCAGGAGATACTCATTAGGATTCAGTGCTGTGTTTCCATGGCATCCCAGAGACATAAACAGAAAGCACAGGCTAATGCATTCAGTTAGACAGAAATTTTAAAGTCTAATGTGCAATCTAAATATATATCACATATGCCCACTATTTATTTATCTATTCTATACACTGCAGTGAGAAGGAGAACCAGCTAACTATTTCAGGGCTCTAATCCATTTACAAATGTGTCTCCTGCAAATGTTCAGTACTTGTGGGGAATATACGTAGGCAATATTATTTGGTTGCCTCTCAGTCTCCTCTCATTTCTCTCCCTTCCATGCTCTGTTTTGTTACTATCCTCATATCCATAAGTATTTTTGTAGCATTTCTGATTAGGACGCTCAAACCAAATTAAAAAAATCCAGCCCTCTGGGCCTGGATTCTGCTTAATCCTTTTTTTTAGTGGGTGATATACCCCTGCCTGTTTGTTGAGCCCTTCAGTTTATGGCTACAAATATTAAGGCTTGTGCCATTTCTCCCTCTTTGCTTTAAAAACATCCTTTCCAAAAAGGAACAAAAAGCTTTAAGCAGGTTTGTCCTCCCCTCCCTGCAGCCCATAGTTTACTTTCACTGCATAGCAATTATAGAAGTGCCTCTCACACCCAAAATGTTATAAATGCTGCCGAACTGACAGCACCTCCCTTGCTGTCAGATTTTCACCTGCTTATGGGAGGTGTGAGCGGAGCAGCATTTGGTAACACTGCAAGGAGGGCATGCCAGAGTGAAAGACTACCTTGGAGGGAGCATTTTAGGCTGTATTTCAAGAAACAGTTTCCAAGCGTGAGGTCTTTTTGATTGTGGAATGGCCTCCCAAGGGATGTGGCGTGGGCCCGATGTTTGAGTCATTTAAAACTGTAGTAGACAGAGCACTGGAGAATGATAAGGTACAGTCTGAGACTGGTCAAATAAATAAAAAGATCCTGTTGCACAGAAATGTTAGTGAATGGGACTTCTCACTCTGATAATTGCAGTGATTTATATTATTTGCAAGTGCACGCTGCGAATTGGTAAGTATATTTCAATGAAAAGGTGTTTACTAATCCCACAAGTTTAGAAAAAAAAAATATCTCTTTATGCCATTGTTCTGCTCCTTTGTAAAGTCTTGCAACTTCAACTTGGAGAGTCATGACTTGGGTAACCTGCAGACTGCATGGAAGGTCACAGAATCACAGAATGGTTGAGGTTGGAAGGGACCTCTGGAGATCATCTAGTCCAACCTCCCTGCTCAAGCAGGGTCCTCCAGAGCATATTGCCCAGGATTGCGTCCAGACGGGTTTTGAATATCTCCAGGGAAGGAGACTCCACTACCTCTCTGGGCAACCTGTGCCAAGGCTCAGTCACCCTCACAGTAAAGAAGTTTTCCTCATGTTCAGATGGACCTTCCTGTGCTTCAGTTTGTGCCCGTTGCCTCTTGTCAAAGCACAGCTTGTGAACAAGCCGTTGTCTAAACATCATTTCTCCAAACTAATAACTCCCCCTGCATCCTGGGGTCACAGTGATCTGCTATAGGTCTCTTATGGCATTTTGGGCTATCAGACTTGAGATTACCTGGGGAATTCAAGCATGTCGTGAGTTCCTGTTCTGGTCAAGGCTTTTCTCGGTCTTTGAGTTTGAAAGCTCTGGGGTCCCCAGCTCTGAGGCAACCTCATCTCCTGGAGCACAGGGTGATCCATAGGTGTCAGGTTAACTGGCAGGAGAACGGAGAGATTACTGATGGAAATCTGCCTGCGTTTGGGCGAGAGTTTGCCAAACATTAAGTTTTTGACCAAGCAGCAGCTTCTAATGAAAAGTCATTTTGTTGGAAATATCTTGACTACCATTAAGTCTTTTTTTTAATGATACCCTCCTTAAGCACTGAGTTGCTGTGCTGTGGAAAAGTTACCAAAAAGGAACTGGAGCTATTTTGCATGTAGATATTTTACTTTTCTGTTGGAATGGAAAATTTCAGTTCTCTGTGAAAAATGAAGTTTGGCTAGGAGAGGAAATAAGGCGTTTTCTCAGTTGGACTCTTTCTCATGAGATCAATACATTTGAGAAAGGTAGAGGAACAGATACTGGAGAAAGGTTACACTAAGGAGGGCAAAAAGAAAAAAAGAAAAGAGAGCTGGACACTCACAATGAAATATTAGTATAGTCCAGAGCATTTCTGTTTAAAATCTTGTCAGCAAAATGTCGAAGTACATTTGTGGTTTTTAGGATTCTTTTACTTATATCAGAGAAATAATTCAAAGGAAGAGCAAAGGGAAGAAAAGAATGCAAGAATGTGTATGGGGGGAGGGGGGGGGGTAAGGAAAAAGAAAGAGCTATGTACAAGAAGTTTTGTGGAAAAGGTAAAGAGGAGCTGAAAGGAGTAAGCAGTATCCATACTCTTGAATAGACTTTGCAAATCTTCATCATCAGCTTTATTGTTTACATATAATAGTTTCAGAGTAGAAGCTGTTCTGACTGGAGGTGATCTGACCTGACAATCTTTATTTTAAAAACATTTATTATAAATAAATTAAGAATTGGTGTAAAATAAATTATGAATTGGTGTAAATAATTCAATATAATTAAATAAATATTCCATTATAAATATTATTTATGTATTTATAAAAGAAAAAGTATTTCTTTAGAGTTAGCAATATACTTTTTATATGTGCACAAGGACTTTTTTGTCCATCTGCGGGGTAGAACCCCCGGGAAAAGCACTGTGCAACCTAAAATACAGCTTACACATGAAAAAAACAATTGCTACTTCTGCAGTTTTTTTCTAGCTGTTCCAGAAAAAAAGTATGCTTGGCAAGTATTAGAATCCAGTTGCTAATCCAGGCTGACCTGTATCATAAGATACAAGCTGTCTCCTCCTTGGGCTAACAGGACTTTGCTTTGTTGGGCTCTTGCATAATCTACTGCTGGATCAAGTGTGCTCTCATAAACATCCAAGACAATCCTGC